ATATAAGGTTTGGGAAATAAAGAAAACCCCCTTGAGCCTACAGTCACTGTGCAGCCAGAGATTACGCATTCATACGCTGTAAGCTACAGCTCATTCTCTTCATATGCTTTTCCGATTTCCCACAGACATACTAGCCACGTGACAGTTCAGCCTAGAACATTTGCTCCTGATGATGGAACTTAGGTGTCCTTGCCCGAGAGCGCACACGCGTGCATCCCTGCACTCCGTCATGCCTGGATCCATACCTGGCTATAGAAAAATGTGTAAAGAAAATCATGTAGTGATTCTGAGGAATAGTGAAAATGTTAATCAATGTAAATCAATAGATCTTGCCAGAAAATAAGTAATGAGGAGAAACTTTTGAAAATTTTATATCAGTAAGATATGCTTAAAGCATAATAAATATAGAAATAGAAATTCTGATGTTGCCTCAGTCTTAATTAAACTATATAGTCATATGTGGATGACTGGTTTTTTTTGGGGGGCGAAGGGTCTACAGGGCGCTCAGGGTCTCACTACTAGATTGGGCTCATAGTGACCCACCTGTTTACAGCCTCCCAAGAGCTGAGGTAACAGCCGCACGCTACCACACCCAGTCTCAATTGCCCTCTCAGTGTGCCCCCAGGGTCGGGGCCAGCATGGCAGGCCTGGGGATCAAACCCCAGGCTCCTGAGCCTGCTTGCAGGCACTTTAATCTGCTGAGCTATTTGGCAGGCCTTGTGGAAGACACTTTGGAGGTATAAAAACTTAAAGTAACTTACTTCCTAAAACCAATGCCTATATTCACACTTGGATAATGAGCAAAAATGGTGAAGTTGGTGATATGACAATAATCCACTCACATGTAAATAATTAATGAAATGGCACACTGCTACATTTCTAGAACAAAAATAACTTTTAAAATTTTTTCATGATCATAATATCATTAACTCATTTAAATAACACAACATAAGTTTAACATATCTTTAAAAAAGAAATACTTAAGAATATCTTCTAGTATATTTTCAAGTATTTATCTGGATAAAAATGAAAATCTCATTTTTATTTAGTCAGACAATCTATACTGATTAGAAAACTAGTTCTTGATGGGGAGGGGACAACATTTTACTTTTATTCAATTATGTCATTTTGAGTTAAACTCATATTCTTCTGAGATATACGTATAGGTATCTCTCTCTTAAAAAGTACAATTTTAGGGCAAGAAGTAGTGTTACGGCATTTCTTGGAGAGATCAGAATGAGAGATAATAAAAAAAATATTGTCACAGAACACTGGGGGATTTACTTCATGAACGCAGAGATAAAGTGAGCACTTTACTAAAAATAAGTGCTGTGGCAAAACTTACAGCTATTTTCAAAATAACAGAAATTTATTCTGTGACTATATTTTATTCCAATGACTTTCATGCAATGTGATGTACTGCATGATTGATACAAATGTACTCTTCAAATAACAGACACTTCAAAATTAGCAAGGTTTTCCCCACATACTATTAATAATACATGCATTTTGAGACTCAAAGGAATTGAATTGTTTTGAATTTTCCTTCAATATATTTATATTGTAACATGAAATAGAAATGTTGCTCTTTTATATACTGATCAAAACTCTTTGCAAAGTAACTGCTGTTTTTCTCCGCATAATTTTTGTTACATAATTTCTTGTAATTCTAATTTTTCTAACAAATTCAGATTGGAAAATTTTAAGTCTTTTATTTCTGTAAATCTAAAGAAATTAATTTACACATGTCAAAATATTGAAAATTAAGATATATAAATTAATATTACTCTATCATTCATCCAGTACAACACATTTTACAATAACAATATGTGTTTAATGAACTATAATTGCAGGGGTGAACAATTTTTGTTTGTGTGTTTTGTTTACGCACCTCAGGAACTGAAACTCCTGAAGTGGGCAGATTCTGCTGAAAAAGAGAAGTTCATATTAAATCTGAAAAGATAAATGTCAAGTGAAAACAAAGCATCAATGAAGATTATTGTATCAGTATAATTTTGTGAAATAAATGAATAACTCAAAATACATTGCCTTGCTCTAATATTTGCTATGGTCTAAATAAATTAATATAATTTCATTCAGTAAAAAATACTGTAATGCAGAGTAGGCTTGGTTTTCAAATTATTTATCCAAAACACAATTGATTGTACTCAAAGTGTACCAACAACATTCCTGGATAACTCCCAAATCACTCTACAACGTTCATTCTTTACATTCTTATTTTGGCAGAACTCAATTTCCAGGTACATTTATCCTTCATATATACTTCCCACTAAATTTTAAGGTTTCTTTTTATTCTTTCTCTATTTTATTTTTCCAGCCTAACTCCCATTCCTTCGTGAACTATTCAGTGCCTTTGGATATAAACACAGTGCATGGGGCTGATCTTACTTCATTATACTCTGGAAAGAAGAAAAATAATCCACCAATATCAATAAAGATAACATATAATTAAGTAATGAGATCTTAATTGAGAATAGTTTTAAAAGAAGTGGCGAGCTACATGAGCCATGGTCATCATAACTGTGTGTCTTCATTTTCTGCACCATCACCCTCTTGCTGAGTCATATTGGAAAGGTTTTGTGTGTGTGTGTGTGTGTGTGTGTGTGCGCACACGTGTGTATATACTTGCATATATGCATCAAAAAGAAAAGTTTGTTAAATGACAAGTTTTCAAGAATATCTGATGAATCACACACATAATTATTGATACAATCTTCCCATGATGTAGGCAAACATGAATGTTGGATGAAAAGCTAGAAACTCCTTAGATTTCTTGTGTCCCCAAAAGAGAAATGGGCACCAGCATACATTTTCTTCCACAAATATAAGCTGAGTGAAGAAGGATCCAGGAAGATCTTAGATCTGAAGATGAGTATGACAATTCTCAGAACACAGATATTTTAACACCTTACTCATTATAACTTCAGGAAAGCACAGGAACCAAAAGAATAAGCGAAAGAACACTACATCTGATGTAGTTATGAACTTCGACACCCTCCTGTTTTCACAGATAGTGACAGACCTGAGGAATCAATATATTTAAAAGTACCATGGAAGGGGAGGGTACATCTGGCATCCCTAGAGATAAGTAAGGTTTTCAGGCATAAAATAAAGTGTACATTTATAATATACCTACACTGCAGCTCCAGACACGCAATCCAAAGGAGCGACCATCACATAGACCAGAGACTCATACAGAAATAATTGTCCCTTTGAAATTGTTTTGAGGATACATTGACAAGAAGCTCCATTAAGATTTCATTGAGAGATTTCTCTTTTGAATAATATGCCTAACTTCTCAGTCTAAGTCTGTGCACATAATAGCCTTGACGAGGCGCAGTGAGAAAAATGTTTGCACTGGTTTCAACCAAGTGTAGTCCAAAGCTACTTTCTTTTCCAGTTCAAAATTGAAGCAGAAGGTCTGAATGAACACTGCAAGATGTCAGTGCAAGCCTTTTGTCCCTCTCATCAACTCTGAACGTGTGCTTTCCCTCAAATCCAGATTAAGGGCTTCTCTTAGGTATACTTATCCTATTTTATACTAAGGACCAGAAGCCTCTGAGATTCTCAAACAATCAAAAGAGAACACTGCTCAAGTAGCCTCCAGAGCAGGTTTCAGATGCCTTCAGCTTGGAAGAACATGTGCACCTTCCGCCCATGTCTTAGAGTGCTATTCATAGGAAATTCCAGCGAGACGTTACGGGTACCCAAGCGGTTCAGCATAAGAAGCAATACAATACAATCTGCTCAGATAGATCCTGTGACCAACTTCTCCCCAATAATGTAAATGAAAGTTACAAAAGAAATTTTAGGGGCAACTGTGGACATTAAGATACACACAGGAGAATGATTAATATTACTAAAGTAAGGACAGTTTTCTTAGGTATTAGCATAATGATGATGTCATTGCATAGGAAGTTGTCCTCAGTCTTAGAGGGTGACTGCTGCAGGAGTTAGCACTACAGTATTATATTCTATGCAATTTACTTTCAAAACAGTCAGCTTCATAAAAAATATAATATGTATGTTAACATAGTTTTGTGCATAGGCTACTGTAAGATAGGGGCAGACAGAAGCAAAGAGAATATTGTTAAAAAATAATCATTTTTTAAAAGTAATTACAGATGAGGCTTTGGGCCACAAGACAAGAACTGTATGCTTCCCGGGTTCCTTTCTTCCCTTGCGCCTAATGGTGGAGAAGCACAGGTATATATTTATGTTCACCAACATCTCAATGCAGAGCCCTAGAGGGCCCTAAACAGAAACAGAGTTGTGGTCAGAAGGGCAAAGGCCACACAGAAACATCCCACTTTAAGACAAGCAGGGCAAGGGGGGCCTGCCGATTAGCTCAGTTGTTTAAGGACCTGTTCATGGAAATGCAGTCAGAAGCAGGATACTGTGGTTTAATCCCCATCTCCATCTGCCTTACCTACCAGACCTGCCCTTGAAGCAGGTTGAGCCAGACCAAAAAAAAAAAAAAAAAAAAGGACAACCAGGGCCAGCCAGATAGCTCAGCACACTAATGCACCAGTTTAGGCAGGCATAGGGCTGGAGGTTCAATAAGAACACACTGTGCTGACCCCACCCTGGAGGTGCACTGAGACAGTGATTGAGACTAGGCGTGGTGGCGCAAGCCTGTAATTCTAGGGCATGGGAGGCTGAAAATAGGAGGATCACTGAGTCCCATGTCTGTAGTGAGGCCCTGTAGACCCCCGCACTAACTACATTTTTTTAAAAAGACAACAGGGAGACAGGGCGGGATACAAGGAACACTCTGCCATAGAGACTCTTGGATAACCAAGGTTGAATGCTTCTCCTTTCTCAGAGTAGTAGGAACTCAGACCAGCAACTGTGGCAGCGCACTGAGATGCGATGACACGCAGAAGGCAGGAGGATGGCGGCTCGTCATTACTTCTCTGACAGTAGGAAGGCAGTTGAGTAAGGATGAGAAAAAAGAGCAAGCGAAATCGAGGGCTCAGACGGCGATAGAATTAGTAGGGGAGTGAGCGTGCCGCCAGTCCGGAGCAGCACTGGGAGAGCAACACTAGCAATTCACAAAGGAACCAGGTGAGCAAAAACTGCACACGCCCGCAGTGTTTAGGCAAACAGTATATATTCTTGAGTTACAAAAGTAAATCACGGTGCCTAGGGTTTTTTTGCTGGTTTGTTTTTTAAAGTAACAATATGTTAGAAAATAAATTAAGGAGCCGGTCAAAGAGCTCAGCAGATTAAAGCTCCTGCAAGCAGGCCCAGAGGCCCGGGATTCCATCCCTGTCTTGCAGTGTGGGCCCCACTGGCCGGGGTGCGCTGTGACTGCAATTAAGACTGGGTGTGGTGGCACACGCCTGTAATCCCAGCTCTTGGGAGGCTGTAAAAAAGGTGCATCACTATGAGTCCAGTCTAGTAGTGAGACCTTGAACACCTCGTATATCCTTGATTAAAATAAACAAATAAAATAAAAAATAAATTAAGATATTGTATTCCTTCTGTCAGACTTCTGTACGTATTTTTCAGCATCAAGGATGAATACAGTAATTTTCTTTTCTTTTTTGGGGGGGGTATTTTTTAGGGAAGGGTCTACAGGATGTTCAGGGTCTCACTACTAGACTGGACTCATATTGATCCACCTGTTTATAGCCTTCTAAGAGCTGGGATTACAGGTGCGCGCCACCACACTCAGTCCAAATCACCATCTCAGTGCGCCCGGAGGGGGAGGGAGAGGAGGGGCCGGCATGGCAGGCCTGGGATCGAACCCCACCACCCCTGCACCTGTTTGCAGGCACTTTAATCCGCTGAGCTATATGGCCGGTCCTGAGTAGAGTAGATGTTTTAAATTTCTGAAAATTATCACGAGCATATAATTCTAAAAGCAATATATTTTTAATCAGAATTAACACGGGAACTTTATATTTTTATTCAATCAAATGGGACGTGTGACTACAGAGGAATGTGATTGATTTTATTTAATCAGTATCATTTAATATTAAATAGAATACACAGTACAGATAATGAGTTTAAAAGATGCATTTGCCTTTGAGGCATTTATGAAGTTCAATATAATATCAAATAATTTTTGAAAATTCTATTATTCTTAAGTATTAGAATATTTCTTGTCCTCATATTTTCTCATGTATAATCATTTTAAATTGACAAGTTAATCTAAACTGTCACAGGACAAAGACAAAGCTTTGGTGGAGATTATTGGAGGTTTCACTTAGTTAAAACATAACAGGAACCCAGTGCTCACATTAAAAGGGTCATCCATTACTTTAAAACCAACATAAAATCAACAAAATTAAGACTTATACAGAGTATTTGTATTTTTAAAATTAGTTTTCACATTTTTTACCTCATGTAATCTTCCTGTTAAGTCAAGATACCCCAATCTTCAGATTGGGAAATACACCAACCAAAAAGAGAACTGAAATCACCCCAAAATAAAGTTAGTGTCAGCATATTGCTTCTCCAATCTATACTCTATTATTTGACCAACAGAAGATGTGACAAGACATTTTTCCTGAATTTTGTTAACCAGCTTTCCATTTTTAAGTGATTTAGCAACACGCTTATTTCCAAATGCTGATGGTTATTAAAAATATGCGTGTGTCAATCATAATTAGCTTACACATCAGCATAGAGTAATTTAACACTCTAACTTGGTGCAGGAGTAAATCTGAAGTAGCCAAATAAAGCCATTTCATATGAATAGTTTCCTTCATGTACAAATAAGTGTACATAGTATCAAAATCAATGAGAAATAAAGAGAAAACCTGAACAAGAAATCATTTTCTTCATAAAGTGGGTCTCTGGTTCAGTTTGAGAAGGACAGAGCTGTTTTTCCATCACAGATGATAAGAAAACATAACGGGTATCTCTAGCATATAGAAACTAAATACATTTTGG